TTATTTCTGACAATTGTGACACCCGAGAGGAAGCACCATCTAGTGCCTGAAGCACATGACTGGGGTGGGGGGGGGTGTCAGAAAAACAGCACCCTCTTTCCTATCTCTGCCACTGACTGTGTGGCCTTGGGAAAGTCACTTCACCTCATGGGGAAACAGGTTCCTTGTAAATTGTGGGCCATTTAAAAAAAAATAATAATCCCACTCAGAGGTGCTGCAATGTTAATCTTGATATCTAATCCCAGCTCTATCACTGATGTGTTGTGATGCCTTGGACAAGGCATTTCAGCTGTCTGCCTCAGTTTCCCCTTCTGGAAAACAGGGCTAATAATATGCTTCAAGGATTCATCGTTTAACCTTTTAAGATCTTTGGATGCAAAGTGTTCTAGCAGTGCCCACTGTTGGTGTCCTTAGAGATAACATGAACCTGCCCAAAAATCAACAAGCAAATGGCAACAAAAATCTCCCTTTCTGTTAAGTCAATTTTTAAAGGAGAAAATAAACCAGTTCTGACACAAAACTGCATCGGTTTCTTCCAATCTCAGAGCCATCCATTGTACAGCACTTGTGATGGCCCACAGGCTGCCAGAAGAATTGGGAATTGGTCCTGCTTAGCAGGGGGTTGGACTAGATGACCTTCTGGGGTCCCTTCCAACCCTTATATTCTATGATTCTATGATTCTAAGAACCCCTCTGAATACGTGTGGCGCAAACATTGCTTTGAATTACTAACCGCTATTTTGGTTTTAAGTCACAATCCTTGGTTGAACCAAATGGTTAGAAAGCCACTCTATAGAAGAGCTATGACTCACTTTTTAGAGATCATAATTCTGCCCGATGCATTTAAACTACCTTTTCCTTCTTCCCGTACAAGTGACAGAGAAGCTAGAGGGTCAGGACCTACAACACAAGGAAGAAAAAGCCACTGGATGCCTTTTACCAGTGTGTGTGTTTGTAATTAACGGAGAGCTACCACCTTGTAATCTAGGGCTTTGAAATTCAGGAAGCAAATAGGAATACGAATGCTTATTTTCTCAGCATCCAATAGTTGGAATAAACCACTGGGGCTTCCTTACATTACTGTACAAACGTCTGAATGAGGAATAAATACTTTAAATAAATCTTTCTGGACTATTCAGGCCTGATTTTCCAGAAGTGCTGAGCTCCAACAACACCACTTGGAGGCAGAGAGAGCTGCAAGAAATCAGCCAAGCGTACATGGAAAATCTATTGCTATGTTTTGAGACTGACAGATTTATTTTTTTTTTGTCTGTAAACGTTGTGTAGTTAGCATCTATGCCAGGCGCTTGGGTTTATCTGCTGTGCCCCAGAGGTATCCCTGCAGATGTGTTGGAGAGCAAGGAGGGGTGCAGCCCTCCTGGCAACTAATCAGTGATGGATCTGTGCAGCTGGCAGCCCCGCTCCCACACTGGACTGACTGGCACTGTCCAAACCCGAATAGATCCTGGTAGCCTGGGTGCACTGGGGGTGGGAAAGGGTTAGGGTGGAGAGGGTTCCACCCCTTGCACATGGGCTGCCCAGAATCCCTATGGAGACCCTGCTTGCACCCTCCTTTGAGGGCTACTTGTCTGAAAGGAGGTGGGGGAGGGTAATGGAAATGGCTCCACCTCTCTCCCCCAGCCCCACAGGGCAGGTGCAAAAAGGAGAATATGCTGTTCCTTCTTCAAGGAGGACAGGGTGCACTGCCCAGGAACCTGCAGGAGAACACTGGCTGTTGGCACTAGAATCCCTTCTGGGCACAGACTGCTGGGTGCCCCTCTGTACCCTTCTAACCCATCCGAGGGCACCTAGGACAGTAGCCAGTACTGTGCATGGCCTGGCATGCAAGGCCAATCCCAAGTGTTGGTTTTCAGCATATCAGCAAAGCTCTGGAAAGAGGACAGCAGCTGGCACACAAGGCTGGAGCCTGGGTCGGATTCTCTGCTGCCCTGCACCAGCATCTACACCCAAGCAAAACACAGTCATTCTGATTGGGTAGCAACTTTCCCCCACTCGGTATAGGAGCATGATTACACAAGGCATGGGGCCGCGGGAATCAGGCCCCATCTCGTCTTCCTGCATGGGTTCTATTTGGAAGATAGAAAGTAACTGATTCTTTGTGAATGCAACCAATAAGACACAGCTTTTTATAGGAGCCCAGCTGCAATAATGCTGCATTACCACTTAACACATGAAAATGTGTCTATTTAGACTCCCATTTCATCCGAGTCCACCTAGTCACAGTGAGCCAGTTAGTTGCTGCGAATGAAAGGGGAGCAGATCCAAACCTAAACTGGAACCTTCCTAGGTCCTCTCCTGAGTTCACAAGAAAAAGATATTCATCTGCATTTTTACTGACTTGGTGATAAGTTCAGGGATGCGAGTGCTAAGTAGGTAATCGTTCGATGGGTTCCAGGTTCTAAAGTTAGAATGAGAGCAATGCAGGGTGGATCAGTGGGAATTCTGGAGGTTCTAAGAGGATGCTCTACAGAGTCCAGGGGGGCTGGCTCTAAAGTGATGTTGCCGTAGCTGGTTCTAAAGCACAAAATTATTTTCCAGAATGGATATGGGGTTCAGAGACAAGGTTCTCAGCGTGCTAAAAAGATTTGAAATAGCAGAGCTATTGAACTCCTTTTAAAATAGCTAAAGCCAAATCGTTAGCAGATGTAAACCAGCACAGATCTGTTAACTTCAATGGAATTGCAATGATTTGTATCAAATGAGGATTTGACTTCTAGAATGGAAAGGTGGGAAGAGGTTTATAAAAAGAAAATCCGACTGTAGGCTGAAGGTTTTAAAAATGCTAAAAGGACAGAAGGCAAAGCTGCTGGCACAACAATAAAGGGAGAGGTTCCGGAGTAAGCTCTGAGCTGTAAGTTTCCAAGATAATATACAATCCAATCATTTTTCTTCTGTTAAGAACTGCACGCAACTCTCAGTATTCCTCAATCATCAAAGGATGAAATTAGTGGCAGCAACCCAAAAAAATAAGAAACCCTGACCTTAAAACACTATACTATACTCCTAGTTCAAAGCAAAGAAACGTTTTCACTTTTCATGGCTCTTAAAGTTATTTTATTCAGTCCTTTTATTCTGCTGTCCCTGCATTTTGATTGGGATTGATTTTTTTATGAGAAATCCTCTGAGGAATTCCAGACAGACACCTACACAATTATTTGTTTAAACACAAATATCAGTTCAAAAGCACAAAAGACTAGAATAGGCATACACAGCCATCATCTCTGTTTCAACCTTCATACACACCTCAGCCCTCCCCAACAATAAAGGGGAAGACACAGACGTCAAGTAAAATATTGGTCTCTCTGTTAGACATCTGTAGACCAGTGTGTTCCATAATTACTAAATAAAATACCACAATCAGATTTCATTATCGCAGATGTTCTTTAAAGAATGAAAGGCAGATAATAAGACACTGAACCTTTGCGGGCAGCACAACCTGCCACCTATACGTTTTAGCCCTAGGATGTAGTGGGTCATGACAATGCCAGCTTTGCAGATTTGGGTATTTCCAGCACGTTTATGCACCTGCCTATTCTTGTTACTAGTCATCCTGAAAACAAAACCTGCCACAAACCACTAAGTTACTGATCACAAAATTTACAGGAACACTTTAGCATAAACTCAGAATTAAGAGCTAAGCGAACTGGTTTGCAGGGAGTGGTATACAGCAGTCGTTCTCAACTAGGGGTTGATTTGGTAAGTAAGTAATTTTTAAGTGAGGTATAACTTGGGGGTACGGAAGACAAATCAGACTCCTGAAAGGAGTATAGTTATCTGGAAAAATTGAGAGCCACTCCAGTACAGAATTAGTTTTTTGTTTTGCAAATCATCAGGTGTGTCCCCCCCCCCCCAACAAATGGGCTATGCAAATATATTCCAGCATTCACCAGGACCACTGCTTCAGAATATTTGAGGGTGGTCCTGGGTTACTGGTCAGCAGAGTCACATGGTGTTATTAAAGCACAATGATTGGATGACTCCCAAAAGCACAAGGTGAAGGCTCTGGGCTAGGTACCCAGGGGAATACAGATTTGCAGGAATATTTGTGATGCTTTAGCCTTCTGTGCACATTTCTGTGAACAGTTGTGCTTGTTTGCCTGTACTGGGCCTGACCGTGAAGGATGCGCAGACCCCAAAGAGAGCTTGCTGGTTGAATGTTCACCAGTCCTTCTTGCAGCAGTCACCCAGCTGTATCCCCTCTTGAACCACTAGTTCTTAGGATCCCTGGCTCTTTTAGGAGCTTGGAGCAAGAGTTCACCTGAACTGTTGCCCTTCTAGAAGGGCTAAGGACCTGCTGGGGCCGGGATGAAATAGCAGGACAGGGCTCATTACAGGAATCGCTCTGCTCAGGGTTCATTTTGAAATGATCCAACTTTGACCGTGTCACCTGTAAGCAAGTGCGAGATCCTCCCACCTGGTCAGTCTTTCCTCGCTCCCTGGCCACCGACCTCTCTTCCTCCAGTTCAGGTCCTCAGTCTCATTTCTCCCGTTTCCTTCCTTCACACCCCGCCACGACAACCGGCTAGCGGCGCGCCTGCCCCTTCCACCTCCACCCCAGCGAGCCCGGCTGGCCACTAGCCAACGCCACTCAGGCGGACAGGGACGCAGAAAGAGACCCCAACCGGGCACGAAGCGCTCCTCTGCCTTCCCCCTCCGGGCCGCAGCAGCAAGAGGAGACGTTAGGTTAGTTTCCCTCCGTGGCTGTTCCTGATCTGCCCCAGAGACCGGAGCCGAGCTAGGAAACCCAAGCGCTCCCATGCCCCTGGCTGCTTCCCCCCCCCCCCATCCATGCCGGTACCAACGCGGAGTCTAGGAAAAAAGTTTCCTAGGGAAACCCCCAACCTACCGGCCCATGCCCTGCCCGCTGCACGCCGGCCGCGGCTCCCCCACTCCAGCCCAGCCCCAGCGAGCGCAAGGGGCCGGCTCCGCTCGCTCGGACCCAGGGTGGCGGAGCCTCTCCCCGCCGGCCGGAGCCTCACCTCGGCGGCGGCTTGCGGGCGGCGATGCTGGCGGCGATGACGCTCCCGGGTCTCGGCGTGGCCACGGCCTGGAAGGTCCCTCTCCAGAACTTCTCGAAAAGCTGCTTCTCGCCTTGCTGCGCGCTGGCCATGCCCGGGGCCGGCCGGCCCGCCGCGGGGAGCTCTCCGCGGTGCTGAAAGCCCGAGCCCCGCCAAGGGGGCTCAGCGGCTGGCAGCGCCGGCGGCCCCCAGGCCCCCACGGGGCCGGAGCGCTCTGCCTGCCCCCGCCCCCGCCCGGCCTCTGGGCGGCTCGGAGCCCGGCGGCGCCGACGCGCGAGGGGAGGGAGCTCCGTGTGTCGGCGAGCCCGAGCTCTGCTCCGGTTTTGTCTCACTCACACCGTGACGTTGGCAGAGGGGCTGGTCATCGCCCCCCGCCTGTCTCCTGCCAGCATCTGCATCCCCAAAGGCTGCCGGTCCCGGGGAGGAGGCCGCGGGTGCCGGCTGCCACAATGGCCCTGGGCCGGCTTGGGCAGCGACCCGGCGGAGAGCAGAGCCCCCACCCCGCTCCGGCAGGGCTGCCCCCCTGCCAGCCGAAGGGCTACGGGGCGGCGGCGGGGAGCAGGGCGAACTCGGAGCGCGCCCCGGGATGGGAGCGGAGTCCGCCCCTTCCCCCCGCTGCACCCCTCCTGCCTTCCAGGGGCCTCAGCTCCCCCCAGCGCTGCAGGGCTCGGGCTCAGCGGGGGCACTGCACTAGTCGGGAGAAGCCTCCGCCATCTGCTCGGCCTCCCAGCGCAAAGGACACCGCGTTTACATCTGCTCCAAAACAAACAAGCCCAGCCTGGAGCGCAACCGATCCCAGGCGTGAGCCAGTGCAGCTGGCGAGCTCCGCTCCCCTTGCCGCCCCCGCCCGGGGAGGGCAAGGAAGCGCCCGTCCCTGATTCGCCGAGAATCCGAACGCAGGGAGCGGCTGCATGGCCGGGGGCTCGGTGCAAGTGAGCCTGGCTACTAAAGTAGGGAAGAAGCGAGTGAGAGAATAGACTTGCCTCCGGGTGCTTTTAGCAGGGACTCCGGAAACGTGCAGCTGGCCCCAGGGATGAGAAGAGACGGGGCAGAAATTCTGCTGGTCTCGGGGGGTGGAGGCAAAGCTTGCCCTGGGAGATGCTGCATTAGCTAGCAGCCAAGAGGGAATTATCCCTGCCCAAACCTGTCACATGGGAGCCCTTTGTGGGCAGCTTTTCTTTTTCCCCTGTGGCGTGGCCCTGTTGATCCCAGGGGGCACCGAAGTGGACAAGGTCACATTTTTATATGGGTTGTGAATTCCTCATCTTGATTATGCCAAGTGCCCCCCCCGCTCCAACCTGCCCAGAACGCCCACCCTGCTCATGTTAACGCTCCTTTTGAACCTCTGCCCCCCACCCAGCATCTACATACCCTTCAGACCTCTCCGGGTCACAGCCATGCTGCTGCCTACATCTTTGCTTCCCTTTCGTCAGCACCTCCAACCGAGCTACTATCCTCGCTACGGGGCTTGTGCCCACAGCCCTGTCTTTGTGCCACCCCCTATGGCAGGAACAGAAGCAGCCGCCAGGCTGTACACCACCAACCCCATCCCCTGCCAGCTCCTCCAACAACTTCTGGAAACCCATGAAGCCTGCTGGCAAGGCCAGTTCCCCTCCCTGCTCTGCCCTTTCACCATGCTCTGCACACCCAGACTGTAAGCTCTTCAGGGCAGGGAACTTGCTCTTGCTTTGGGGGAGCGCATCTGGGGTGCTGCCCAGCAGCTACTGTTCCATGTTAGCAGAATAAAGCCTTGGAGCAAGCAGAGCCATCAGCCCTGGAAAGCAGTGACAGTGACGGGAAGCAATGAAGTGACCCCCTCTGCTTGATGCAAAGAGGAGGAATGACAGTGGGCAGGCCCCAGCTCTCAGTGGGGAGGGGGGCTGAAAAAGAAGGGCTCAGAGTAGGATCAACCTGGAAAGCAAGAGGTCCCAGAGATGTGCCCCACCAGGTTTCCTTCACCTGCAAGCTACCACTGAAAGTCCATCAGGACAGGGTCATTTTAAACACCACGCTGGATATTCCATGCATTCCTTGGGGAAGAGCTACCTGCACCCTGTCCACGCTGGCTGACAGCAGTGCTCAACCCAGGGCTGCAGAAGTCCCTTAACTTCTCGTTTTAAAGAGGAGTTTCCTGGCACGTGGCACATGGCGGTAGCGTTGGGCCCCAGTTTGTGGCAGGGCTGCAGGTTCGCACTGCATGCGTTACGAGGAGAGCTCTCCAGTCAGTGTAAACAAGCCCCATTAAAAGTCAGCGAAGCCTCCTCACCAGTTTACACCAGCTGAGGGACTGGCAGGGAGAAGGACTCTTCCCAGTTTACAGGTGGATTACTGGGCCTCTGGGCCACCTTCAGCCTGATTTTACCAGTCCCTATATTGGCTAGATTTGGAGGTCAGAAGGGAGCTAGACAGCATGGTGATAAAAACGTCAATGGCTGCTTGCAACTATTGGCCCTTCCATTATTGCAGCCAACAATGGAGTGGCACCAGCAGTAGGGCAGCGGCAGGAGATGTACCCAGAAGGTGCCCATGTAGCCCAGGCTGGAGAGTCATCCTCCTATGTTTGTAGCCTGTGGTCAGGTGTCCTACAACTCACTTGCTCTGCACTGTCTGGCTGTCCTGGAAGAGATCCCAAAGTCTCTGAACACCAATGGAACCAGGTTTGAGAAAGCAGAGAAAAAGTAATGAGTGCGACTCATTCAATGAGATACATAGGTGCTGGAACTAGGGGTGCTGCCAGACCCCCTGGCTTGAAGTGGTTTCCATTATATCCAGGGTTTGCGTTTGGTTCAATGGCTCTCAGAACCCCCACTGTACAAACTGTTTCAGCAGCCCTGATGAGAAGTCTCAGAGGGGTACCCGTGTTAGTCTGTATCCACAATCACATGAGATACTTAACTTTGGTTTGAGTCGATGGAAGATACAGCTCCCCCCAAGACTTTGACTGCTATGCCATCATAAATGGACAGGTGGCACCCTGGCAACCTAGGAATCAGATTTAAAAAGCATCCCTTTCTATACACAGTCTCATTATCTAGATCAATGCTATGTGCAATCGTACAAGTTGGGGGTGGCTCTTTGATGCCTGTAGGACTTGCTGAATTGTGCGCCTCTTTGTACTCAATACAATAAAAAAGGTCTTTAGAAAAATTGCTCCTTGTACCAGATACTTTGAAGCACCAGTAAAAGCAGCTGACCTTGAATGAATGAGACTATCTATATCATACCTTGGAATCCTGCACAAAACATTTGTGTAAGCAACTAGAGGATAATGGAACCAGGAACAATAAGCAGTATGCATTTCTAAAGAACAAATCACACCAGAGAATCAGAATCACTTTTTTGGAGCAGTAGAAAGCTAAGAGATGAAGGGAGTGCTATAGGTAGGATAGATCTGGATTTTAAAGATCGGACGCAGCACCTCAAAAACCTTGTGCAATGAGCCTTTTATCACTGGGAGGCAGTGTGGTCTAGAGAACAGAACAGGGGACTCTGGCCACCTGGCTTCTATTCCTAGCTCTGACCCTGGCTTGCTGGGTGACCTTGGGCAAGTCAAGTCATTTCCCCTCTGTGCAGTTTCCTCACCTGTAAAATGCAGATAGTGATACGGACCTCCTTTGTAAAGCACTTTGAGAGGCGCTGATGAAAAGCATTATATGAAAGTGAGGTTTTACTGGCTGATGGCAGGGCTGGGACCCAAACCTTTAATGCTAAAAGCAGAGGGCTCTATTGCTGGAGCTAAAGGAGCATCCCCATTAGCTGGTAGCAGAACTAGGCTCTTGGGGATCAGGCACTACAGGAACACTTAACACTTTGCAGCAGTGGCTTACACTTGCTTGAAAAAAAAACAACTGAATTTGGCATGGGAAAGGGAGAGGTCAGAGTGAATACTTGCTGAAGGATCACAGGTTACGAATGGCAGCAAAGTGGAAAGCTGTGGAGAGGTGTCTAATCAGGAGCTGTGAGGCTCAGTGATAGCAGGCCCACTTTTAACCTCTTAAACGATGTGGCAGAGGGCACACAGAACACCGATTGTGAACTCTCTGGGGAACGGAGGGTCTTAGTCCCGTGTGCGGATAGCATCCAGCACAACAGGGCCCTGGATCCACCACCGGAGCTTCTAGGCACTGCCCCTGTTAAAAATTAATTGCCTTAAAAGATGCTATTCCAGGAGGTTAGGAGTATTGTGGACAGAGGGGCCTCCTTTGTGAGGCCAGAGGAATAGAGAGGGGCCTAGAAAGGGGATGACAATTGACAAAAAATGAGATTCAGCTGAACAAATCAGGCTGTGACCGGACTCCTTTGTTTTCTGACACAGCATGGCTTATGTGGACACAACCGCTCTGTGCCCTCCCCTGGAGGGGAGTCACACCTGTCTGTCCACAAGGAGCCACCTCCATTGGGTGACCGACTGAAGCGGCTCTGGTTTAGTTCAGCGGGTGGAAATCTGCATTTCTGAAGCCAAGAGTTGTGAATGTGAACGCTTTGACTGCATGTACGTGGCTGACTGACAATTACAGAGTATGTGTTCTGGGGCCATAAATAGTTACAAAGGCAGATCTTACGGACAACGGTATCAGCTGTAATAGGAACAAACCCAATAAGATTTTTATACACATTAAAGAGGCTCCTATAGACATTACTCTAAAAATGTAACTGAGAAGGGTGACCTTGCCACAGGATTTCTAAACAGTTCTTCAGAACTGACTAGAGGAGGAGATGCCCGCTAGTTGGAGAATTGGGCTGGTTTCCCAATTCTATATAGAGACCATCACTCTTGTGCTCTACAGGATTTTCACAACAGGAACGAATTCATGTGAGTGGAGTAGACAAGACAAAGTGCTTGCACACACATACTCTCCCCCTTTTGGGTGCTGTGTAGCCCCTACCAGCCCTGCTGTTTGCCTAACTTTTGATCATGGGTGTCTCAGTCTTCCTCTGCCGGGGGTGGGGGGGGAAATACACCCCACCTTGCATCACTCATGCTAACTTTAAAATCTCCATTAAAAAAGTCCCTGCCCCTACCAAGCTTGTTCCACGGGCAGCCACTGCAGGAAGCTGCTGTGAAACATGCCACAGCTCCAGCTGGGTTATCTTATGCTCTAAGCCTGCAGTGGTGGCCCTGTGCTAGGGCCCTGTGCTACGGAGAAGCAGCTGCAGGGTCAAGTCTGTAGACC